CTCTGAGGCCTGTTTCTCCTGTGTCTGCCACTCCATTAATCGTCTCAATTACCATATATATGCAGTTCATACACAATATTATACGATGGAAAAATCCGCAATTTTCTTTGCATATAAGCTATAAGTCTTGTTTGCTTTTCCATCATTCATTGTGTGCATGTATTTCTTTATTCATTCATTCATCGGTTGTAATTATAACTTTTTATTACTATTCAAATTCCAGACGGGTACTCATGCAAGTGACCTCGTGGATCCATCACACTTGCTTTTAGTGCCTCCAATGTGCCGGAAGTAATGCGTGTTAAAATGAAGTTGGAACTTTCAATTTGGTTTGGTTTTTCTTCTTTTTCTGCAGTGAGCCTCACTGAAACACATGCCATTTGCCCTCAAATAAGCCTCCACTTATCTCAATGTTTCTTAAAGTGCCAAGCGACATGAGGATTAATGGGCGGTTATTTGGAGGCAGGCGCCTATTAGACATACTTACCAAATAATTTGTGGGAGTCCAGATATGGGCTAAGTTTTGTGGTTGTTGAAACAAGAATATCTCAAGATTACGCTCTGCTATTTACTCCTTTCACTTTGAGAACACACAAAAAATCCACACTTTCAGCTTTCTTAGTAGAAAGCACCACAAAAGAGAGCGGTACACAACTGTTGAAAGTTTGAAAGAATGGATCCATTCTCGTATTGACATGCATTTAGTTTTAGTAGCTGTAATGCCCACAGCATAAGGCCGTGCAAAACAAATTTAAAAAGAACAAGAGAATGCATCACTGCTTCCAGGATGTGCAGAGTTTTACGTGGAGCAGATTCTTGTTTGTTGTGGAAGGAGAGGTGAACATTTGTGAGAACAAGACATGCACACACAATGGAACGTTAAACCGACCTACTGAGCCCGGTTTTTTTTAACCCTTGCATTAATACACTCGCATAGCCTGAATGCTGAGTACATGTTTCCCTCGCTTTATGAGGTTGATGCGTTCCAAAAAAAAAGGTGCACAATGCTAAATTTTGGACCACACAGTCACCCAACGCACAATGCACTGCACGAGACAGCTGCCTCACGAGTAGCGTATACAGAAACACATACAATGGTGTGCCACGTCTGACCGCATAGCAGCATATGAGTGAATTTAAACCCAATATAGCGGTTTTTTTGGGGTAGAAATAGGTTAGCCGTATATTCGCGGAATCGCACAAAATGAACCCGCTTAAAGTGAGGCAAACCTATATTGCTACTTTGCAAATTACAATGGAGCAATATGGGTGACTGGGCGTAATTTTGAATATCACACACTCGACGAGAGGGAAACAATCTTAGATTTTCTGATGAATGTTCATGCACATTGTGCCTTATGGTGGGAATGTTTTTTTGCCATTCCTTATTTGTTTAAACTAAAGTCTCAACATTTCGAAAAACATCGGATATCAATGCCAAACAGCATGTGCAAACAAGGAAACACATTTGAAAATTATTTTGTCAAAGTAAAAACGAATCCTTTATATTGCTCGTGAGCACACTGTGCTCCAATACAGTATTAACACCGCATTTTCTGAACGAGTGTTGAGTACAAACGTTCATTTCACTACTTCGCGTTCCATATTTAAATAAAGTTCGGATGTTTCGAGTAGTTGTTTTGTATGCTCGAAACTCTAAGTATTGTTTATATGCTCTTTGAAAGGACAGCGCATGAAGAACTGCGTACAATACGATATGATATTGATTTGAAGCTTTCGTGACTGCAGGAATCCACACTCTTTGGTTCTTTCGGTAAAGTCACGTGGGTAGACAAAATAATAGATCACAACGTTTCGATCGCAACACAAGCAATCGTCATCAGGTGGGAAAGCCACAGCAAGAAGAAACTGCTGATGTAGGTGAGAGATCTGCCAGTGCTGCCGTGGTGGTCCACTTCACTCCAGTGACCTGGGGTCTGCCGTGGGGTCCACTTCACTCCAGTGACCTGGGGTCTGCCGTGGGGTCCACTTCACTCCAGTGACCTGGGGGCTGCCGTGGGGTCCACTTTCTGCCCCGCCTCCTCCCCTTCTCTCCCCCCCCCCTACTGCCGAGGCCTACTATATAACATCGTGCCACGCCCCCCCCCCCCTCTTCTCCTCCCCTCCCTACCGCCGAGGCCTACTATATAACCTCGTGCCACGGCAGATTTCTCGCCTACTTCAGCAGTTCTTGCTGTGGTTATCCCACCTGATGACGATTGCTTATGTTAAGATCGAAATGTCGTGATCTATTATTTTTCTGCCTACGTGACTTTACCGAAAGAACCAAAGAGTATATTATATGATACTGTGGTTTCTGAAACTGGCCTTCTTAAACCCGCAGGCATTAATATTAAACCATAAGAATCCAAAAGATGCCTTAGTCTGGCTCTGTGAGCCTCAGGCATTAACATTGAACCAGAAAAAAACACTTAAAGGTGCATTATCCTGCTTCCTGCGCCTAGGGCATTAACATCAGAAAGGGTTTTATTCACCATGAAAGTTCACACAGATACGGAATTTACTTTGGCAGGATGGTGCATACATTCAACATATAGGATTCTAAAATCTTAAATAAGTGGTAAACAAGTCTTACTATAATAAGGGTTCAAAGTCTAACTAACACCAAGGGGCTAAAGTATATAAATTGAATAAATATCGAATATAAAATAGCTATAAGATACAATCTAAAAATTTAAAAATATACCAATAGGGTAACATAGTTAATATTGGCAAGGTGTCATTTTGTAGATAAAATGTTAAAGTCAGTGTAAGCCTCGATTTAAAGCTTTCGTGACTGCAAGGATTCATCTTCTTTGGTTCTTTCGGTAAAGTCACGTAGAATGAGAATACAATAATAAATTGATAAAATAAAATAACACAATCATATTCTCACGACGTTTCGGCCACAACACAAGCGGCCTTCATCAGGTGAAGGGGACGAGACTGTCTGGAGGACAGCGTTGGAGTGAGAGAGCCACGCTGAGATCACGAACTTTAAGCCTCTCACACCACGGTTAAAGGTATGGTTTACAACATGGAGTATAACAGCGCCTCGCAGCTGTCTCTCTCCCCCTCCTCTGTTCCGACCATGGATGAACTCGTCTGTCTGAACGGGACCCGTAGCTATCCGTGGTGCTAAAGTTGAGGCTTAAAGGTCGTGATCTCAGCGTGGCTCTCTCACTCCAGCGCTGTCCTCCAGACAGTCTCGTCCCCTTCACCTGATGAAGGCTGCTTGTGTTGTGGCCGAAACGTCGTGAGAATATTATTGTGTTATTTTATTTTATCAATTTATTATTTTATTCTCATTCTACGTGACTTTACCGAAAGAACCAAAGAAGATCAGTGTAAGCCCTTAGCCTTATTTAAGAGGCCAGCAGCGGACGGGAAGAAACTGTTTTTGTGGCATGAGGTTTTGGTCCTGATGGACCGCAGCCTTCTGCCGGAGGGGAGTAGCTGGAACAGAGAGTGTCCAGGGTGGGAGTAATCGGCCACAATCTTCCTCGCTCACCTCATGGTCCTCGTGGTGAGCAGGTCCTCGAGGGTTGGTAGATTGCAGGCAATCACCTTCTCAGCATTGGATCATAAAGTGTTTTAGTCTGGCTCTATATGCACTTTTACATCATTTGATGTTCATATACACAGTATTTATATATCTGAAGTTGACTGCCCATGTCCACTTACTCATTTATAGATAGAATCTACATAAACGTAATAAAAATACATTTATAGCGCTCAATCAATCAGCTGCTGAATTAAGGCCCTCCCCACGCCATTTTGGTCAGAGAGGGGTTGTTTGAGCTTACGTCAACAAGCTAGTCCAGCGCTTGTTTGGTGAAGAAAGTGAGTTCAGGATTTGTTGAGATATCGCCCGCCACTGGTGTAAGCCGTTGCCGGGAGGCAAATTCACGTGGGGGCAGATTTAATGCACAGGGTGCTATGAGCAATGGCACAGTGCCTATGAATAAAAAATGTGAAAGTCATAAAAGTGAAACATTCGAATAATATCTGCCGATTTGTCGTGAAGTCACATCGAGGGCTGAGGTGAGGTTCAGAGATAGATTATGTCCACTCACTGTATGTCCACTCACTGTATGTCCACTCACTGGATGGAGTCTCCCTGTTAAGTGATTTGAGTGTTAACCTCCTCACGTGCCGATGTCTTCTCTGGCTACTCTGGTTCCCTCCCACGTGCCAAACACTGATGAATGGTTTTGGTGAAGCATCCTTATGCAGGATTCTCCTGAAAAGAATCCTCAGGCTGACCGAGGCTTTCCGGAGTAAATTATTGGTATCATCGTGTGAGCTGTGATGTGACAAGGTCCTGCACGCAGTTGATTAGCAATATCCGCATTGGTTTAAAGTAGATGTGTAGTGTTGTAAGGACGAGCAGACTTCTTTAGGAGGCACACTCTGTTTATTGTATTATTTCCTTATACAATGCTTAGCACACACAGAGGGATATTCGGTCCCCTCGCCTGATACCCTAGGGAGGTACAGCCTCCGGACTTGGCGGGACTCGCACGTCTACCGCTAACCTCCTTGATACCTAAGGAGGTACAACCTCCGGACTTGGCGGGACTCACACGTCTACCGCTAACCTAGTCCTCCAGCTAGGACCTAGGGGAGGCTATCTGACCCACCGCTGGCCCGGTGGGTCCTGACCACTGGGAATGCCGAGCCTTAGCCCTTAGAAGGGCTGAAAGGCTGGTCCAGGGTCCTAGCTAGGCTTCAGCCCAGTCTTCTGTCTTCGTGCAGGGAGAGAACTCCCCGAGGTCCGTTGGGTCACCCGTCTTATACTCCTTCGTGGCCAGGTAGAACCAATCATACATTCCCACGCGGAACCGTCTGATTGGTTCGTACCAAACCCTGGCTACGATCCGTTTCACCTCGACTGACCCCAACCGTTGTACCCAGGGGTAATGCTGCACTGCCCTGGTGGAAATGCAGGTTACGCAACAGCACGTAGTTAACACCTCTACAGATGTACGGGATATGTTTATTTAACTCCCCATATAAAAATCCAGGAATTTAAACAGTGACTACTATTGGGAGATCAAACCGGCATCCTTTGGATTTCAAGTCCAGCATGTAAACCATTTCACCACGACATCACCCGTTCAAAAGTTATACATCTACGAATATTTTGAAACTACACGGTCAAGTGTGATCCTGATTTAATCATCACATACAGGCTCATGACTCACTGGGTGTTAAAATGCTTAAATGAGTATTTAGTGCCACTTGTGTGAGATCACTCTTGGCTCTTGCTGCACATAATCCAGCCCACAAATGACATGGTATCAATACATCTCCTTCATACAAGATGCTATGAAAAGTGATGTTCTATCAAAGAGGGCTTTGTTGTATAAAAAAATGGAAACGTTTTAAAGACATCATTACTCACAATATCCATGAGAAAGCAACATTATGCCAACTTTTCTGTTGTTTAAAGATAATACTGATAAATTGACAAAAGGCACTTGTCAAATAACATTTGACAACAGAAACGCCTAGCAACTAGCAACACCTAGTACATTCATGCGTTTTGTTTGACATTTTTTCTTATCTTTCACGATCGTATTTGGAGTTTAAGCTTTTATAGGTCGTCAACAAAGAATGCATTGCTTTTAGAAATTATTCCACGATAAATGACGTCACTCACGTTATTTCGTTAAGGTGCAGGTTCTGCAAATTATTTTCTCATGCAACTGCTGGCAGAAGGGCCTCCACTGAAGGAAGATCGAGATAGAGTCCCTCGGAAGGATAGTTTGTCAAACGTCTTGGAAGAAGTGGGGTTACCTACACTCTACCCCACCACACGGGAACCTGCCAATCGAGTAACTATGTCCATACTGCTGAGTGGACAGGAGTGGGAGGATTTAAGAAACTTGCCCCCATTGTTTCAGCTGCCACGCTTGGAGATTAAACCGACGACCTCTGGGTTGCAATTCCAGTGTGCGAACCATTTCACTATGGCAGCATCTCCATGTTATTATGTCACGAAGATGAATCCTCTGATAAGGAGCGATTGTGTTGTTGAATTGCATACGCGCATTCTAAATGTTGTGGCGTAATTTCATACGCTGCAATTTCGAAAGATCAAGTGTATTATCATGTTACCCTTCACGAAGCAATTCAAATAAAAATTTGCCTTTTGCATATAATGCGTACTGTATAATTATGTATGTTCCTGAAAAAGAAAAAAAATCATTCGTACATTAGTATGAGCACCTACGTAGGTTTTAACGGTTGAGACGTGTGGCTGTGTTTTGGGGGCTGTGGGCCGCGTGTTTTTCGGAACGATGTCCGACGTTTTGTTCCAGAGCGCTGGGAGCTTCTTTCTGAAAGAATCTCTCTGCTTTTGAAGTAAAATTTTCACGTTCCAACTGAATAAGCTCCCAGCACGTGGAACGAAATGTCGGACATCGTGCCAGAACAATACGCCGGTACAAGTCGAGAGCATATCAATTAGCGAGCTGTGTTAATAGAGGAAGGATCTCTTTTAGGACAACGGTACCCAACCCCCATTCCCCTAGCATCCCTACCTGGCGTCCCTGGGTGACCCCCTCAGCCCACCTTCCCCCGCCACCCACCAGTTACCCCCAACTGCAGGCCGAGTTGCTCTTGAAGGATGCTGGGGGAAAGGCCACGAGGTATAAAAAGGAAGGAGATGCTTGATCCACCTGAAGGGACAGCCAGCCGTTATAACGGGGAGGAAATTGCAAGATCAGACAAGATGCGAGAAACTTGATCCGATAATCTACCCCTTGGGCAGAGAACCCAAGAAAAAAGAGAAGTTAGCATGGCTTTATATATGTATAACCGTAATTACTGTGCATAAATAAAAAAAGACGTGTTGATGGCCACTAAGCGTGTGCAGCGTGTGTGTGGATCTACATTGGCCTGTGCATGTTCTTCAATGTGTGCACGCGTGTTCTTGAATGTCTGCACGCGTGCGTGCGTGGCGTGGCGTGCGCCTCGCCTAGAAAATGCAGCACACATTGTGACCAAATGTTTTATTTTTTTTATTCCTCTGGCAATATCCAAGACGTTAAAATGGTGACATTGTGAAGAAAGTAGATGGCACGGTTTTGATAAACTTTGAAGGAAATGCCAATACCAATAATTGCATAACAGCCGCTTGCATTCAACTCTCTTCCCATGAGTACTGTGCTGTGGGTGGGAGAGAGAAAAAAAATGTTGGTTGGTTGAACCGAAACTTGACATTGATTTCATGATTTAGTTTTCCCAATATTGTTTTAGGGGCATTTTTAAGTTTACCGAGTAAGTGAATATGCTTTGGTCAACAGTTGCTTGAGGTGAGCACACAAAATGCCAATTCACTCAAATGTTCTACGATTCATTATTTTTCTGCGAGTAGGCAGGAGCATTTTAAATGATTCGCAATGTTTTTGTGTCTGTCTAAATGGAGCGATCATAATCATAGTCTTATACGTTTGAAATAGTGATTTAAACAAAATTGGTAAAAAGCGATGTAACTTTTGTTCGTACGTCAAAACACGTTTAGGATACGTAGATTCTATTTACAGGGAAAAAAAATAACACATTTGTTCGCGTTACACCAATGATGTGCCATGCGAGCTTTTACAATTGTAAGGACTGGCAGCATTTATGAAATGCATGCAAATCCCTGCACAGAATTGGTGCCTGGCAGAACTTTAAAGACGAGCAATTTTTACCCTCAGCCTAGGGATTTTTAGGGGCAAAGGGAGTTTCATTTATTTTTTATTCTTAATATAGGGAAATATTCCAAAGTAAATCTGCCAATGCTGGCTCAGGCACAACATTCTCATGCATCCACCAGCTGTGTTGGAAGGTATTGCGCACACACACACACTTGCACACACGTGGACTAACCAAACATGTACATGCACTTGCACACAACAACCGCCATTCGCCACGAAGTGGCGGTGACGTCACCACGACGCATGTGCCAGGCGATGTGCACCCTGAGGCCACGTGAAGTGTCGAACGCCCGCTGGCAAGAGGTCACGGGGCAGACCCAGCAGGTGCCACGGGTCGACTGACTGAGATGACAGGCTGATGCACCACCTGTGCCCCCTACTGTGCCAACTTGCTGTGCTTTAGCCACCCGGCGCTCCGCTCGTTGTTGTGAGCGTCGCTCCTCCGCCCTCCGTTTTTGTTGGAGGGCGACTGCCTTCAACTGCCCAGTAGCGTCCTTCACGAGCCTCCTCCACAGAGGCCGATCTTGACACTGCTGGTACCAGTCATCGGCAATTCCACTCAGCTCCACGTCCTCCTGTACCACATCACTCCATCTCTTCTCTAGCCCGTGCCATGCCCGTTTAGCCCCCTCAATCCGGCCGAAAAAAAGCTGTTTGGGCATGCGGTGATTGGGCATGCGGGCTACATGGCCCAGCCAATGCAGCCTTGCCTGCCGGAGGAGCTCACCGATGGGACCGTGCCCAGATCTTTCAAGGATTTGTGAGCTCCTCACACAATCCAGCCTGCTTAAACCCAGGATGGATCGCAGGCAGGCCAACCTAAATGTTTCTAACCGGCGAAGATGTTCCATTAGGGGGTCCACGTTTCGCAAGCGTAGAGAAAGGAGGGAAATGACTGTGGCCGAGAAGACCCAAAGCTTAGTGCGGAGCGACAGACCAGGTAGCTTCCACACAGCATTACGCAACCGATGAAAATATAATGCCACTCGACTGATTCGGAGTGAGACCTCTGCTGTTAAACCGGAGCCGGTCATGAGCACACTGCCCGGGTATGGAAAACTCTCAACTCTCTCCACAACTGCCCCACTGATTGGGAGTTGTGGGAGTGGAGTGCCCGATGGTACAAAATACCCAGGCAGGTGCTTCGTTTTGATGGGGCTGATGGTAAGGCTCCACCTCTTAGTGGCACACTTCAGTTTCAGCAGCAGCGCCTCCAACTCCTCCTCTGAGTGAGCCGCATACATAACGTGGTTGACCATTAGGGAGCCATCCCTTGACGCAACCCGGGCATCGAACAGCCTCCCATTGTATCTGTACCAGATGTAAATTCCTCCGGTACAGCTACTGAAGGCTTCATGAACTACGTGGTCGAAATAGATGTTAAATAATGTTGGAGCCAGAGGACATCCCTGTCGCACCCCAAGGTGAACAGGGAATGGCTCTGACTCCCGGCCACGTAGTTTTACCCGGGCCCGCTCACCATCATGCAGGTCCTTAATGATCATGAGCAGCGGGTTAGGGACTCCGAAAGCACGAAGAACAACCCAGAGCCCAGGCCTACTGATGGTATCATAGGCCTTTACTGGGTCAATAAAGCAGAGATGTAGGTCTTGTTGGAATTCCCTACATCTCTGCTGTTGCAAACGGACAGAAAATATGGCATTTGTGCAGAACCGCCCTTTCCTGAAACTACACTGGGGCTCTGCAAGCCTCTCCTCAGCGTGCCTGGCAAGGCGGTGTTGAATAATCCTTGCCAGGACCTTTCCCGACACACTGATGAGTGAGATGCCCCTGTAGTTGTTACAGTCTGTGCGGTCTCCCTTCTTAAGAATAGGGACCACGAGGGCATCCTTCCAATCCCGCCGAACCCGTCCAGTGGTCGAGACTGTTGATATGATGTCATGTAGGGCAATCTGTGCACAAACGCCACCCTCCCTCAGCATTTCACTTGGGAGATCATCTCTGCCCGGTGCCGTTCCTGGTTTCAGACTCTGGATATCCTTCAGTACTTCCTCAACAGATGGCACCTCAGACAGCCACTCACAGGGGGTGACTTCCTCTTCCAATATTTGAGGCACCGCAGCCTCAGCAGGGTCTTCCCCACTTTGTCCCATGTGTGCGTGTAAGTCCATATGTGTGTGTAGGTCGATGTGTGTGTGAGCGAGTCGTTGTATGTGTGTATGTCGATATGTGTGTGTAACTCCATGTGTGTGTATCTAAAGTCGATGTCTGTGTGTGAGTCCATATGTGTGTGTGTGTAAGTCGATGTGTTTGTGTGTGGAAGTCGATGTCTGTGTGTGTGTCTTTTTCGCCCGGGCAACGCCGGGTACTTCCCGCTAGTATATTATAAAGGAGCCCTAAATAAAAAATACATGAAAATAAAAAACACGTAAATATTCAAACACATGCATTTTTCATAAGCATAGTAAAGTAATTGTATTGTTTCATTTGCTATACAACCAGATAATATTTTGATTTAAAGCTTTCGTGACTGCAGTAATTCATATTCTTAGCTCTTTCGGTAAAGTCACGTTGAAGGGAAACAATAAAATAATAAAATATATATAAAACATTTTGTTTTATATTTTATAATTTTATTGTTTCCCTTCAACGTGACTTTACCGAAAGAGCTAAGAATATGAACCAGATAATATGACAAATCGCTAACCTTAAACATCCATTCGTTCATAAAAGTTGAAGACAGTATAGTACTATAGTAATAGAGCAAGTGCAGAATCACTGAGCCGGAATTGATAGCTTGAAAGCATTTAGCGCGGGGCCCTTGGAAGTGCTGGCCCATAGCATATATAGCTGCTACATATGTAGCTACTACATATGTAGCTACTACATATATAGCTACTACATATATAGCTACTACATATGTAGCTACTACATATATAGCTACTACATATGTAGCTACTACATATATAGCTACTACATATGTAGCTACTACATATATAGCTACTACATATATAGCTGCTACATATATAGTAGCTACTACAAATGTAGTAGCTACTACAAATGTAGTAGCTACTACAAATGTAGTAGCTACTACATATGTAGCTACTTTTGCTACTAGGATAATCCGGCACTGGTTGTCACCCAAATGGATGTTTAGTTCGAGGGGTATACATTTTATTGAATGCCACCCCAAGTCTGCCTGGCAAAGAGGGCAATATCACCCCTCACCTTCCTGTGCACGCTGCCTATGAGCAAGTACTGTACTCATGTCACCGCGATATGGCGACACTACGATATATCTTACAATATGAGGATTTAGGTGTACTGACAATACATAAAAGCAGTAACGTGAAATGAAGTCATTTTTTTATTTTATAGAATTGTCTCACGTGGTGAAATTTCGGTGTGAATGCCTTCTTTAAGGTGCATGACAGATGCCACGGCTGCATAGTTTGCATCAACATTGCGCTGTGACGGTGTCTTTTCGGGTGTCAAAAAGTTTGAAAGCGTTGAAGGTCAAGGATGAGTGGCCGTGCTCGAGAAAATGTTTTCTATTTTTTTTGTGTGTGTGGCTGCACTCACTTGGCATGGACACAGTAACACCCGGTGTACATTCATTATAAAGGTAAGAAACGTTGGTGCCAGGGTACTACTGCGTCAGCACCGCTGAGATCTTGGGTTTCAACCTTGGGTGGGACAGGACAAAAATATGCACGAGATTATAAAGGTGAAAGGATGTCTGTTTTCAGATGTCATACGTCTTACAGTATCAGCCTGGTTGCTGGTTCATATACATATAATTATCAAATTGCTGCTTGTACATGCTTTAACTGGCATATGAAGGGAAAATTGTATAAGGGTCCTGGGGATAATTAAAGTCCAGCTCAAGGCACTGCGCGTGCTTGTGATGTATTCTGTGATGTATTTTGTGGATTTGAAAAAGTGTCATGGCGTCTCTAATTTAACCAAAAATATTTCTCAAGAACTATTGCCGTGCAGAATCAGTCAATTTGTTGAATGGAGCCAGAATGTGCCTAACGTTCTGAAAAGCGAGCACCTTTGTAAACAAAATAGGTAAAATTGATATGGAACTCTAAAACCCCTTTGCAAACATCACCACTGACTTCACCTTAATAGGAAAATGTACAGTACAATTTGCATATCCAACTTGCTGGGAACTGAGTTATAGGCGGGTATGTGAAATGGTCAGATATATTTGAACGCCTATTTAGGAAATCACAGTTGCACTGTGTCCAAATAGGTTACTGGACAAAAATACAGTGCAACCTTCTTCACTGTATTTTAAGAACAATAATAAAACTCTACACAATATTGGGAAAACATAATCTGTGTGTGAAAGATCGGATTTGTGAACGGCTATGGAAAACGATGGTCACATCACAGCCGCCCGCACTGGGTGCACTGGCTGCGGGCAGCTAGTCACGGTGGACATGTGACGGTCAAATACGGGACGTTGTTCGGTCTAGAAATGCAAGGTGTTGGGCAATGGTCCTTCTTCAGGGCAGAGTGAAAAGGAAATTTGTGGTGAGGCTTATTCAGTTGGTGCTTGCATGCAACAAGACAGGATTACCATATCTATTATAAAAGCCGGCGCTCCGTTTGTTCGTTGACACAATTATGAGAGCCATCAGAAGGCCTGAAGAAAAAAAGTTCAAGAACGTTCAGCGTGCTTCTTAAAATGCAGTTGGTGTGTGCCTGTTCTGCCTCACGGCAGATATGGGGGTGTGCGTACACAGGAATTTCCTGATATGGTGTTGAGTTTGGTCACATGACCAGAAAGTTACGATTGAAGGTTCTCTAAGCCATGAGGCAGGGTGTCAGCCATTACACAGAGTACAAAATGGAGGCACAAATAGCGTCTCAGTGAAGACAGGTGCACCTATATATATTCTTGGTTCTTTTGATAAAGTCACGTAGAAGGGAAACAATAAAATAATAAAAATATAAAACAATATTTTTATCATTTTATTGTTTTCCTTTGACGTGACTTTACCAAAAGAACCAAGAATAAGAATCCCTGCAGTCACGAAAGCTTTAAATCAAAACAGGTGGATCTGTTCATTGTGGGACTTTAAGACGCATTGTCTGTAAGTTCGTTTATGTTATAATAGGGTCTTTCCCCTTTTTTCTGGCAACAAAACTGAAACCTTTTTACGAGGATTCATGTCTGAATTAACCACAATACCTGCAGTCAAATGCAAACAAAAAACACACTATGATAATATATGCATTGTCCTTGAAACGGATTGGTCCACACCAAGGGACGGCTTTCTTTTGAGCCTCAACCCAATTGGTGCTCGACCAGACGACGCCAAAAGGCATACAGCTCAAAGACAATGCACTCTCAAAGTAATGAGGGCTCGGGGTGAGCATCTACATCATTAGACCTCCTTTGCCAGTACCAAAATATAATAATAGGGTTTATGTTCTTATACTACTGGGAATGCTGTTAGAATGTTAGGATTGCCGTTATAATGCTGTAAATGCCTTTATGATGCTGTTAAATTGTTATGATGAATATGAGGCCTAGTTAACAACGAATCCTGCCACTTGCATTATTGTGAATGTTATTGTATTTAAATTTTGATTTAAAGCTTTCGTGACTGCAGTAATTCATATTCTTAGTTTTTTCGGTAAAGTCACGTTGAAGAGAAACAACAAAATAACAAAATATATATAAAGCAATAAAAAATTCTCACGACGTTTCGACCATAACTCAAACGGTCATCATCAGGTGTGTCGGTTTGCATAAATTTATTTTTAAAACGGCACATTTATTTATTTATAAAAAAAACGTTGGCGTCACGCGCAGCGATTGGCAGTTTGCCCAGGACTAGTCCATCTATTTTTTTTGAAAAGAGGAGGGGGGAGACGAAATTTTTTATAATGTATGCTGTCTGAAAGCCACTGTAAGCGTGAACAATCAATCAAGAACTGAAATGATTGATCAAATCTTTCCAATGATTGCTAAGATAGAATCCATCTTCTCGGTTGAAATTGTCTCTGTGCTTGTATATGTGGATAGCCTCATGAACGAATCTCTCATGGAAGCCAGATGGCTTACAAAGAAGCTCCGTCTTGGAAAAGTCAATGGCATGTGAGCCTACTGAATTAGAACAATGATCTGCTACGGCCGAGGTGTTGGTCCTACCGTGTTTAAGGTCTGCTTTATGTTCACGAATGCGGTCCGAGACATGGCGTTTGGTTTCTCCAATGTAACTACTACCACAGAGGCAACTTAGTTTGTAGACACCAGGGTATTGTATGTCCGGAATCACATCTTTTACAGACGGAACCAGATCACGGATTTTATGTAATGTGTTGAAATGGACCTGGATCTTGTGTTTATTCAAGATTTTGGAGATCTTTTTTGTGATCCCAGCAATGTAGGGTAAAGTGATGGTTTTGAAAGGCTCCTCAAGAGGGTTCTTCTTCATGGTTTGAGTGATAGCTTTGCGGATTGTATAGTCGGAGTAACCATTAGCCCTAAGAGCTTGGTGTACGTGCTTGAGTTCACTGCTTATGTGTTCCTGGTCGGATATGCATTGGGCTCTATGATACAGAGTCTTGATGAGAGAATTCTTCTGTGATGGATGGTGGTGGGAATCCGGTTTCAGATAAGCATCCGTATGGGTAGCTTTCCTGTAGACAGAGTGGCTCATTGAACCATCAATCACAGAAGAATTCTCTCATCAAGACTCTGTATCATAGAGCCCAATGCATATCCGACCAGGAACACATAAGCAGTGAACTCAAGCACGTACACCAAGCTCTTAGGGCTAATGGTTACTCCGACTATACAATCCGCAAAGCTATCACTCAAACCATGAAGAAGAACCCTCTTGAGGAGCCTTTCAAAACCATCACTTTACCCTACATTGCTGGGATCACAAAAAAGATCTCCAAAATCTTGAATAAACACAAGATCCAGGTCCGTTTCAACACATTACATAAAATCCGTGATCTGGTTCCGTCTGTAAAAGATGTGATTCCGGACATACAATACCCTGGTGTCTACAAACTAAGTTGCCTCTGTGGTAGTAGTTACATTGGAGAAACCAAACGCCATGTCTCGGACCGCATTCGTGAACATAAAGCAGACCTTAAACACGGTAGGACCAACACCTCGGCCGTAGCAGATCATTGTTCTAATTCAGTAGGCTCACATGCCATTGACTTTTCCAAGACGGAGGTTCTTTGTAAGCCATCTGGCTTCCATGAGAGATTCGTTCATGAGGCTATCCACATATACAAGCACAGAGACAATTTCAACCGAGAAGATGGATTCTATCTTAGCAATCATTGGAAAGATTTGATCAATCATTTCAGTTCTTGATTGATTGTTCACGCTTACAGTGGCTTTCAGACAGCATACATTATAAAAAATTTCGTCTCCCCCCTCCTCTTTTAAAAAAAAAATAGATGGACTAGTCCTGGGCAAACTGCCAATCGCTGCGCGTGACGCCAACGTTTTTTTTATAAATAAATAAATGTGCCGTTTTAAAAATAAATTTATGCAAACCGACACACCTGAAGATGACCGTTTGAGTTATGGTCGAAACGTCGTGAGAATTTTTTATTGTTTTATATATATTTTGTTATTTTGTTGTTTCTCTTCAACGTGACTTTACCGAAAAAACTAAGAATATAATGTTATTGTAGTTGGATAAGTCGAGCCAGACTTGTGTCCATGTAACTTTAATGCGATCTTGAGAGCAAGGATGAAAAAGTATCTCATCCACAGTTCAGTGTTATATGCAGCACTGTACATTTAGGCTGCAGTATGGTGATTACACAAAGTGACCTTATTTAACACAGTAGCTTATTCTCTTGTTGTATGGCTATTCAGTGCTAATGTAGGTGCCTGATCCATCCAGGACCTATTGTTGAGATTCATGTTATCTAAGACAATGTTATGATGCTCCTTGTGTTCATTCATTGTATGGATATTGCAAGTATTAACAGATGCTGTATTTGTTTTGTTTTTCCATCATTTTTTCCTCGTTCTATTCATTAAATACGTTGGAGTCAGGTGTTCACCCTGGCTCTGAAGGTTTATTGAATGCGAGGTTAACTACTCGGGAGAATGGTGCAACGCAGCGCACAGCGAGGCCGAGGCAATGCCAGGTGGCTTAGTGGTGGAGTAAATGGCTCGCAATCGCAAGGTTGCAAGTTCAAACGTGATTGGAAGTCGACTTAGCCGATCATCCTTCCCAGATAGATCAAATTGGTGCCATTTTGTGGGTAAGTCAACGGTAATTTTCTTATGGATAGACTAACCCCCGCCATAGGAATGTGGAATTCCCACGACTATCTCAGGACTGTGGCCAGATTTGTATAGCCTTATTGACACCAGGCACACGTTTTGCATGCATCTTACTTTTCGGAGTGCCTTATAATCTATATAAGATGCTAATATTGTTTTAAACCTGCAAAGTAAAAGTGGACAAGTGATTTATTTTCTAATCTAAGTAAGTAAGCAGGTTTAGTTTAAAACAAAACAAAAAACAGAAGAATTTAATTCCACAAAATCCCAAAACAATTTGTTTTTGATAACTCAAATGAGAAATATAACCACATTGGCTGCTAATAACAACATAAAATCCTCTATACTCTTTGGTTTATTTTTGTAAAGTCACGTAGGTAAAATAAAAATAAAATAAAACAATTAAATCACGACGTTTCGGAGGCAACACAAGCTTCCGTCTTCAGGTGGAACAGTCACAGCAAGATCGCTGCATCAAGTGGAAAAAACCCAAAGAGTATGAATCCTTGCAGTCACGAAAGCTTCAAATCTAGAACATAAAATCCATCGTTCACAAACATAGAATTATAGTTTTGATAACTCAAGTGAGAATGTAAACTGTGGACTCTTAAAAATAACAGTCTGAAGAATACGATGCCTGAAACGCTCTGTGTTATGTTATGGTGTCACCAAGACTGTCATCAGTGCACTTGGCAATTGCAGTTGCAGAGAGCACTTGATCTGAGGAAGTGATCAAAGTTTTATTTTTAGTGTGTTTTGTCAAAAAATTGTACGCAGTAAAAAGATCAATACAACACGTGACCTCCAAGTTTGTACAAAGCTCTCGTTGTCTTTCACAAAGTATATCGGCTTCCAGAAAAGTCATTTGTGGTTTTACCAAGAAAATTCACTCTTGTGAGCAGCAAATTCCAGGCAATACAACCATGACCTCTTGCCCATGGCGTGGATATGGGCGTGGGATGTACCCGGCACAGCCATTGCCTGTAATTACACCCGAATTCCACAGCCATACGATTGGCTATCAGTTGGGGAGGAAGTCACAGATGTTGAAGATTAACAGTTTGTGAGATTATTTTTTTTCTGCAGAGGAGGCAGTCTAAAGTTTTGGTTTTGTTTTCTCTAAAAAAAATTACAACTTATTGGCGTCTGATGTCATCTGCCCCGGACATGCACAGAGCGCCATTCTCGACACTCCACGAGAGTGTGCGGTTTACGTGCCAGAGCTGGGTTTTTTTTTTCTGCGTTTAGTTTCTTCTCCTTCACCTCCGATTAGCGCAGTTGGCTCACGTGCGGTGCGAAAGAAGTTCAACGTACACGCACACATCGATGCAGAACACGCCGCTTGTTCCCTGCTCAGCAGGCGGCAACACACGGGACCGCGGTGCTTTCTCGCGGCCACCGTCTGTGGGCCTTTCGATCTCCGCGGCTCACGCTGCGGCTGCTGTCCGGCCGTTGCCGTGCGAGCGGGCCGAAGGGACGTCCACGTGGCTGTCGCTTTCAAGCCCGCTCGCGTGCCCCGAACGCTCCGGCCCGGCGGCTACTTCACGGCGATCACGGGGAGAAAAGAAAGACAACAAAACAAACATTATTCTTAGCTCTTTCGGTAAAGTCACGTTGAAGGGAAACAATAAAATAATAAAATATATATAAAACAATAAGAAAATTCTCACGACGTTTCGACCATAACACAAACGGTCGTCATCAGGTGTGACAGGATTACCATAGAAATGCAATGTTATGGTCGAAACGTCGTGAGAATTTTTATTGTTTTATATATATTTTATTATTTTATTGTTTCCCTTCAATGTGACTTTACCGAAAGAGCTAAGAATATGAATTACTGCAGTCACGAAAGCTTTAAATAAAAAAAAACATTGATACAACAACCTTACGGGCCGTCCATAAATGACGTCACGCGGTTTTGGACGATTTTTTTACCCCCCCTCCTCGTCACACGGCGTCACAAAAAGTCAGACCCCCCCCCTAAATTATGACGTCACAAAGCTCTGCCCCCCCCCACCCCAAAAAAGTTAAACATGCTTCAGATCGCTTTAAAATATTGTCATTGCAGTGTGTATTTAATGTGGCGCTGCACTCTGATGTTGTGGGAGAAAACATTTAGTAAAAAGTCTATTTAATTAAGTAGAACGTGTTGTCTATATTTATTTAAAGTTGCGCATTTTGATGTGACGTCACATTTCTCAACCCCCCCCCTCCCCTCGTCACACATCGTCACAAATGTCTGATCCCCTTCCCACCCCCCTAGCTGCGTGACATCACTTATGGACGGTCCCTTATTCCGCACCTCCGATTAGCACGGCTGGGCTACGTACAGAGCGAATTCCCAAAAAGTATAATAACGTGATAAGACACTCTTCACCCTGCGTGACAGTTGAAACAATGGTGCACGTTGCCCATATCCCCACGCCTCTGTCCAGCTATGTCTGGTTGGGTATACCCACGGTTCGTCCATGTGGCGGGGTAAAGTGTGGGAGGCACTCGCACGTCTTCCGAGAGGTCTGGCCAGTCTGGAAGACGGGATCTCTCGAGCTCCATGTATTTTGGAAGTCCTTTCACCAGCAGTGGCGAGAGCAAGAAATTGCAGCGTTGCTCCTATTCCCAACAGGTTTTTTTTTCTTTTAAAATGATTGCGTTGATAGTAAATTAGGAAACGCATTGTTTACCAAACAAAGTCCTCCAAACAGGATGAAAATGACCCATTTAGTGAGATCAGGTGGAAAGGAATGACGTTCCGTTGGCTATTATTGCCAAACAGTCAGAAAAAAAATGTGGCTTACAGATACTGAATTAGGTGAACATATTACATCTTTAAACATGCTCCATTAACAAAGTAGGAACAACATTCACTGGAGAGAAAGGGCAAAGCAACAATAGACGAATTGTTCCTGTGAAAGAAGCCTAACACCATATGTCTAGGTTATCATCACTATCGGTAAAGTCACGTAGGTAAAATATTTATTTTATTTTACCTACGTGACTTTACCGAAAAAACCCAAAGAGTATGAATCATTGCAGTCACGAAAGCTTCAAATCTAGTATCATCACTCTCAGCTATTATAATCAATCCACTGCTGGATGAAGGCCTCTCCAAGCCTGCGCCACCTCTCATGGTTTTGAGATGCAGTGATCCACCGAATACCTGCACATGAGCTGATTTCATCGCTCCATCTCGTCGGTGGACGTCATCTCTTCGTGCCGGCCCCGTCATTATTCTTGACATTCATTCGGCCATCACCCTTCAAGCGAAGTGTCCTGCCCAGGACCACGTGTTTGTCTAAAAACACAAAGCAACATACTACTGTTCGCTACAGTTCGATGATGCCGTATATAATTGGCATGGTGACAAACACCCTTCTCAAATAATACATGTATGTGTTTTTTGGGGGGACGTTTTGAGCATATCCTATGCAAATATTTATTTAGACTGGAGGAATCCGATGAGCTATAACGCTCTTTTTTTCAGAAATGTCCAGTAGGGGCAGGTCAGAAATATGCAACAGAAAACAATACAAAACAAGATAGAAGTGCAAAGTATAGGAAAGGAAAGCCACTCACAAACATATTTTTATTTTACCAGGTGAAGCCCACTGAGTTATTAGCTCTTTTTCAGAAGCGACCTGGCCACAAAATGATAGCTCAACGAAGTGGATTATCACGTAGAAATGTACAGCAGCCACTTAATCTGGAGACAGGTCCTGATCCAATTTCATAAAAATGGTCCTAATGGATAACAGCCAATTGCTGTAATGGTTGAAAGTACGGATTTTCCACAATATTACTCGAACACTGTGCACATGTTGCAATTCACAGGCCACTGGTTCAGTTTCGCCATGCAGCGGTTGACAAAATAGGGGGCAAGTTTCTTCAATCCTTCCAACCTTTGTCCACCCAACAAGATACATGGGTACACCATAGTCAGTCGATCGGCAGGTTGGTTGCGTTTGGTGGGGCACAGCTCTACCACACGGGCCGCCTTGTACAAGAAGTCTGGCCCGTGTGGTAGAGTAGCCCAGAAGTTCAACGTACACGCACACATCGATGCAGAACACGCCGCTTGTTCCCTGCTCAGCAGGCGGCAACAAACGGGGCCGCGGTGCTTTCTCGCGGCCACCGTCTGTGGGCCTTTCGATCTCCGCGGCTCACGCTGCGGCTGCTGTCCGGCCGTTGCCGTGCGAGCGGGCCGAAGGGACGTCCACGTGGCTGTCGCTTTCAAGCCCGCTCGCGTGCCCCGAACGCTCCGGCCCGGCGGCTACTTCACGGCCGTTTCTGCTGCGCTTCGGAACGCAGTTTGACGTCGCGTTGACCTTCTTGAACGAACCGGCGATCCATAAATGACGTCACGCGGTTTTGGACGATTTTTTTACCCCCCCTCCTCCTCGTCACACGGCGTCACAAAAAGTCAGACCCCCCCCTAAATTATGACGTCACAAAGCTCTGCCCCCCCCCCCCCACAAAAAAAGTTAAACATGCTTCAGATCGCTTTAAAATATTGTCATTGCAGTGCGTATTTAATGCGGCGCTGCACTCTGATGTTGTAGGAGAAAACATTTAGTAAAAAGTCTATTTAATTAAGTAGAACGTGTTGTCTATATTTATTTAAAGTTGCGCATTTTGATGTGACGTCACATTTCTCAACCCCCCCCTCCCTCCCCTCGTCACACATCGTCACAAATGTCTGACCCCCTTCCCACCCCCCTAGCTGCGTGACATCACTTATGGACGGTCCCTTATTCCGCACCTCCGATTAGCACGGCTGGGCTACGTACAGAGCGAATTCCCAAAAAGTATAATAACGTGATAAGACACTCTTCACCCTGCGTGACAGTTGAAACAATGGTGCACGTTGCCCATATCCCCACGCCTCTGTCCAGCTATGTCTGGTTGGGTATACCCACGGTTCGTCCATGTGGCGGGGTAAAGTGTGGGAGGCACTCGCACGTCTTCCGAGAGGTCTGGCCAGTCTGGAAGACGGGACCTCTCGAGCTCCATGTATTTTGGAAGTCCTTTCACCAGCAGTGGCGAGAGCAAGAAATTGCAGCGTTGCTCCTATTCCCAACAGGTTTTTTTTTCTTTTAAAATGATTGCGTTGATAGTAAATTAGGAAACGCATTGTTTACCAAACAAAGTCCTCCAAACAGGATGAAAATGACCCATTTAGTGAGATCAGGTGGAAAGGAATGACGTTCCGTTGGCTATTATTGCCAAACAGTCAGAAAAAAAATGTGGCTTACAGATACTGAATTAGGTGAACATATTACATCTTTAAACATGCTCCATTAACAAAGTAGGAACAACATTCACTGGAGAGAAAGGGCAAAGCAACAATAGACGAATTGTTCCTGTGAAAGAAGCCTAACACCATATGTCTAGGTTATCATCACTATCGGTAAAGTCACGTAGGTAAAATATTTATTTTATTTTACCTACGTGACTTTACCGAAAAAACCCAAAGAGTATGAATCATTGCAGTCACGAAAGCTTCAAATCTAGTATCATCACTCTCAGCTATTATAATCAATCCACTGCTGGATGAAGGCCTCTCCAAGCCTGCGCCACCTCTCATGGTTTTGAGATGCAGTGATCCACCGAATACCTGCACATGAGCTGATTTCATCGCTCCATCTCGTCGGTGGACGTCATCTCTTCGTGCCGGCCCCGTCATTATTCTTGACATTCATTCGGCCATCACCCTTCAAGCGAAGTGTCCTGCCCAGGACCACGTGTTTGTCTAAAAACACAAAGCAACATACTACTGTTCGCTACAGTTCGATGATGCCGTATATAATTGGCATGGTGACAAACACCCTTCTCAAATAATACATGTATGTGTTTTTTGGGGGGACGTTTTGAGCATATCCTATGCAAATATTTATTTAGACTGGAGGAATCCGATGAGCTATAACGCTCTTTTTTTCAGAAATGTCCAGTAGGGGCAGGTCAGAAATATGCAACAGAAAACAATACAAAACAAGATAGAAGTGCAAAGTATAGGAAAGGAAAGCCACTCACAAACATATTTTTATTTTACCAGGTGAAGCCCACTGAGTTATTAGCTCTTTTTCAGAAGCGACCTGGCCACAAAATGATAGCTCAACGAAGTGGATTATCACGTAGAAATGTACAGCAGCCACTTAATCTGGAGACAGGTCCTGATCTAATTTCATAAAAATGGTCCTAACGGATAACAGCCAATTGCTGTAATGGTTGAAAGTACGGATTTTCCACAATATTACTCGAACACTGTGCACATGTTGCAATTCACAGGCCACTGGTTCAGTTTCGCCATGCAGCGGTTGACAAAATAGGGGGCAAGTTTCTTCAATCCTTCCAACCTTTGTCCACCCAACAAGATACATGGGTACACCATAGTCAGTCGATCGGCAGGTTGGTTGCGTTTGGTGGGGCACAGCTCTACCACACGGGCCGCCTTGTACAAGAAGTCTGGCCCGTGTGGTAGAGCAGCCCAAGTAATCACTGAGAGGCTCTCTAAAGCTCTCTTTAGTGGAGGCCATTATGACAGCAGTGGCGTGAGCAAGCAATTGCAGGGCTGCACCTTTTCTTCGATCCTACATATATATGTTGACAGCAAATGCACAGAGCAGCATAGCACATACCATAATCCGGGGAGGTGTGTTTTTGAAAATACCAACGCATGGCAGTGCATTCGCATACATGACATTTGGGAAGTTATGCAAGTTTGGTCTGAATTTGAAGAAAGTATTTCTACATGATATCTTCGTCAGACTTAAAAAAAAAACTCACCTGTTATATGAAGATATGCAAACTCATGCATTGTTTATGGAGTGTTGTGGGTAAATACATAAATAAACACGCAAACCCCCATTTGTCTCTCCACGTGAAATATGTTTGCTTGACCAGCCACTTATGTTCATGCGGAGAGGCAAATTGACGTTAGTTTATTATTTCATTACCTACAATGCTACGCAATAATGCATAATCATTTGTGAATCATTATGGTCGTTTGTAACATCTGGCAACCCAGCAGTATTTGTTTTGCAAGCTGTACTCTGCCGATGAGACCCTTAATATTGGAACCGATCCAGAGTTTGCTTGCTTAGACGAATACTGCTGAATAATATTTCTCTGGAAGCCCCATTCTGCTGATGGACTGAAGTTTATTTCATTACACACATGAGAGAAATGAATCGAGGTTGATTCTTTTATTATTTAATCGCATCAATGTGGTGTCCTCCACTGTCATGCACAAGCCTGGTGTGAGTGATTCCCGTACATTGAGGAATTGCAATTGCAAATTCTGTATGATTTTGTACGAAAGTTAATACTGTGTGACATTGCATCTTATTGGAATGCTAAATGATACTGAATTTTTCTAGTCTAGTATTCCTGAATATGTACATTTTCCACATGAAATCCAAACACTTAGTCTGTTATGCAAAGTGTAAAGCATAATAATATTTAAGTACAACTTAGCAACGAGTACAGTATTGTGCGTTGGTGTTTTTAAACTCCTATTCGTTAACAAATCGTACTTTGTAATATCTAACCAGGTGGGCACTAGCAGAGCACCTGACTCACAAATGTAAGAGTGTGAGTTCAAATTCTGGTCAGTAAGTCAACTCAGCCCATCATTCCTCCACGGTTAATAAAATCAATACCAATGTTCAGGATGTCAACCACTCTTTGTCCCATAGAGAGACTTGAACCTGCCACCATCATCAACCGTGATCGATCTACTGCTAGATGAAGGGACCTCGCCAAAACCACCGCCATTTCGCATGATCCTGTGGTGGTAATAATCCACCAAAGCACCTGAACGCGAGTTGATTTCGCCACTCCATCTCCTTGGTGGGACGCCCTCTCGGACACGTTAGATCCATCGGCTACAATCATTCATCTTGGCCATCGATAGAATCCTGTGGCACCCTTGCCGTAGGAGCGTTCAATTTGCTGCGGCACTGCCTCTGGGCTGCCAGCGAAAATGGGAACTGCCCTACCGCTCGTTTGAGCGCGAAGATGCCAATTGTTTTTTTTTTCGTCTGGGCCCTGCACCGCAACGAACGCAGTCGCAAACTATTAATATATTTGCTTGTTTATAGATTCTCAACAACAACAAAAAAAAACGTGTGATTCATGCCGTATGGCCGGGCAGCCAGGCGTATGGGAACGTCAGTGCTCAAGCGAAACGAGAAAAACAAGGCAGCTGCCAAAATGTCACGTGAAAACATATTTTGTTTTTGTTAGCGCAGCGTAACCTTATCCTTTACACTGTACAGTCCGCTGCCTTTGATGCGCAATTCCCAATGAGGCATGGCGAAAACAAATTAGGACGTTTCCTAAAAGTGCGGAGCGGGACCGCAGTGCCTCGATGAAAATCCATCCTTGAATATCGGTCGCCCGCCACTTCTAGGTGTCAACTCGGAATGCTGCTGCTGTTGCTGCTGCTGCTGCAACAGATATACCAACCCCAACGAACTGACACCATCAACCTGCCGTACGGTTTTCGTGATGGGCTTTCCGGGGTTGCGTCTCGCGTTGTTCAAGCGCGATGTTCCGAATCCACGCGCGGAAACAATCGTTGCACATGTTCAGGATGCACGCTCAAGAAACAAATATTCGCCCCCTCCATATTCACTTATGCAGACTCTAAGCAAGCACCTAATTGGGTTCCGCTCAGCATATGAAGCGTTTGTTGTGGCTACTAGGATAAAGATCCCCCCGCTTAGCTTCAGCAGACTGTTGAGGCAAGTGCTGTGGGTGGGTGGCCAGCACCACGCCCGGCCGGATTTTTCTCCCGAGTAGCGATGTTTACTACACACCGCACCAGGTACTCATTTGAGACTGAGTCAACCTCGGGGAGGCCCAGAACCGGCTACACCACACACACACACACGCGCAGATGTGTATCTTTGACTCTCCAGGGCTGACATTGACACAAGCACGGGGTACTCAATTTGAACTAAGTTGACCTATTGTCATCTCATTCTGAAGTGTGACCTTTGTTTTAAAAAGGGGAGTATTAAATACTCGGGAAGAGGGGTGGGGGGGTAAAGAGGGGTGGCTGGGGGGGGCATGACAGAATGTGAAACATACTTTAAAACCACTCTTCTCCTTATCTTGTTCCCTTCCATTCCATTTAAAATAATAAATCCATGCTCCTGTCCGTTGTCCATAGGCTAGTAAGGTAGCGAGCCCCACCTTTCTCCCTGCCCCTTGCCCCCATAAGCGTGGTGCTCATGGGATTTTGGCCACGGAATTTCTGTGCCAACCAGCCCCCCTTTTCATCGTCCGCGCTCTGTACCGGGCTCTTGTTAAAATTAAATTCGAAAATATATACACAACAAAAAAGTTTGAACGAATGTTCAACACTACACGGAATCGGTAACGATGCGACCTGTGTCGATCGTGTGTTCTGCTCGAGCTGAGTGGAGGCTGCGACGCACCATCGCTTGGCCGCACTATACGAATTCAGAATCGGGGCGGGGGGGGGTGGTCTCAGTCTTCGGTAGAGGGGGGCTCGCCCTCCGTCACGCTATGGGGCTGGTGTATTCCCACCCGCTCGCTTACACGAAGCTGTCACTTACTCCGTAGTGTGCCCTGCACGAATAAAGCAGCTCTTGTCAAGGACACCGACGTTTGGCGGCCGCTATTCTAAAGGCAGCACCATGAGACGCAACAGCAATACCGCCATGTGCTCCGATTTTGTCCAGTAACGCTACACTGATCCTGATAAATTGTAATCAAGATGTAATGGAGAGCAGAGAAAATAATCAGAGGTGGTGGAACTAAATGCAGATTATAGAGAGGAGGGCCGGAGTGGAGAGGTGATGGAGAGGGCGATTGGGTTGTGGGTGCGTAAGCTGAACGGGGCGAAGGAGATCGGGTGCTCGAGTGCTCACACTTATGAGTGTGTCTCTCGTTACACGGAGCCCAGTTGAGCATATTAAATGTTTGCTTAACGTGAATTGAGTGAAGTCATGGGGCAACAAGTCAAGACAAATTTTTCAAATCGTACGATCTGGAGGGTGGGGGGTTTGGGAAATAATTAAAAGAAACAATCGCGCTATTGACTTTCTAAATCCTTCTTTATAACCGAACGGAAGTGTTAGAGGGTAAAGAAATGCCTCGTGCAGCAGTTGTGTTGGAGATTGATGCTCTACATTTGGTGATTTGCGAAGCAGACTGAGACTCGGAATTGATCTGAACCGATTGGGGCACTTGTCACTAGAGGGCACGACTCTCAAGTCAACTCAACCTATCATCCCTCTGGGCTCGATTAAAAAAACAAGTACCACTTTGCGTAAAGTCAACCTATGCAGAGACTGTGCCCTGCCAGTGGCATGTTGGAATTCAACTACTGACTCAGAGCCACCAATGGAGATCAGAACCCGCCAATTGCTGGCTCGATCAGAATATATGATCCTGGCGATGTTCATAAACAGACGCCGCTGATGTCCATGCAGCGAAACTGTTGTGAGGCTTGAGAACTCATTGAAATGGATGATGTCATCTCAATTATCCGCTTCATGTCTAATACCCCGCCGCATAATGCGAAGATTTCGTTACCAAGAGGTTGGATATAAAACTACAGTTATCGCCCGGACTCAATTATTCACAATTGGCACCGGTACTCAGAGCCAGCTTTAACATAAATGGCACCCTGGTCAAAGGAGGAATTTAACGCCCCTTGAAAATAATTATCTGGTAATAACCATGTCATTTAGTGTCATTTGTTACCCGTCACGTGACTCGAAGTGTTAACCACCACATATATGTAAATGCATTACATTTGATTAAAAAAAAACTCGTTTGCAGTGCCCCTCACAGCTTTGCGCCCTGGGCAGCTGCCGTCACTGCTGAAACATGTCTCTGTTCGGTTAAAATACAGAGTTTACTAGCACCTGTACCTAACTTTTTTCTGGCGCTTCTTGCTCGCACATGTTTGCACTGTCTTTCTCGATTGGCATGTGTTTATGTCGCTCTTAGACTAAAATATGCGGCTTACTTGCACCTGTACCTAATGTTTCCATATTACATTTGCGCTCTTTTGATTTGCGTGTGTTACGTTTACGACCATTAACTACCTCGTTTGTTAGTTGTGCAATATTCCTTAAGGACCCTGTGCTCGTTCTCTGCATTAGTTCTGTTTTTTTTTGTCTTCGCTTTGTTATTGCTTTACTCACGAACAGCGGATCTCTCGTGTAAAATAGCCAGGGAATTGGCTAAACAGGATCATCCATGTAACAAATGAAATAAACTTTAAATCTTCCAGGTCACACCCTTACAAAATTCAGTCATTGACTCAGTAAAACTCGTATGTGGTGCAAAGGAAAGGCATCTACTGGAGATGTTCCCAATTTTCGGAATGAAATGAAAAATGTGGCCTAGATTTACGAAATTTGGAATGATCCGTTAAAAAAAAATTCAGTGATCCGAAAATGTGACATCACAGAAAGTGATTCCCTTGCTTCACTTCCATGTTTTCCCACGAATAGTGACGTAAATTTACCGAAGAGTGTGTAATATATAAACGTATATTGCATTAAAATTATTGTTTCATTGATGGAACTCTGGAAAATATATATGAATGTTTAAATACATTTTTAAACTATTTTATTTACTTGATAAACAATGAAAGTCGAGCTTAATTTGATGTATTTTATACAAAATAAATCAGAAATTAGGACTGCATATCTGATATCTTAAAACAAATCGAAAACTCTTCCCGAGTATCAACCTCCACGCATGTGCATGAATCTTCCCGCATCGAAAGCTGCATTGAGGTAGTGTAAAGCAGCCAGCAGATGAAACAACTGTGGTCTGAAACTGGCAATTTCTGCTTTTGTTACACTAAGAGGCTTGTGTTTTTTTGACATGCATCATTGCACTTTAGCGGATCAGACCAACTGTCTCTGTGTGTGTCTGTACAATATAAGCATCATACACAGGAAACGCCCTCTTATCTGCGGTGATGTGTGGGATAAATATCTCAGATCCTGTTCTCCGCGATGTTATCCTCGAATTTACTCAACTTATTAACGGTAAAAAAAATCGTAGATGATAGCAATAATAGGGTCATGGGTCGTAAGATTATCCGGCGGACCACTACAGTTCTGGCAGATAACAGGAGTCACGGGTGTTAGGGTTGCGGATAAGGGGTTAGTTCTCCTGGATATGAAACATCAGGATTTATTCTAGATTTAAAGCTTTCGTGACTGCTAGGATCCATACTCTTTGGTTCTATTGGGTAAAGTCGCGTAGGACAGCGCTGTCCTCCAGACAGTCTCGTCCCTTCACCTGATGAAGGCCGCTTGTGTTGTGGCCGAAACGTCGTGATTTTTTGTTATTTTATTTTCACCTACGTGACTTTACCCAATAGAACCAAAAATTATCAGGATTTATATTGATTTACTTCCCTGAAAGGCAGCACGGAAAACGATCCAGCGTCTCAGGGCTGCGGGTAATTAGCGGCAGAAGTAACTACGGGGACAGAATCAATTTAAAGCATCCCCCCCCCCCCCCCGCTGAGATGGCAAAGCACCCATGCTCATTGGAAAACAGCTGCTCGGCTTCATAATAACAGCGTGTGCGTGCAGTGCGTGTGTCTGCAGGTGCACATAATCATTGGTTGCAGAGCGCATGCTCGGATCAGAGAGGCTCAGCGGCTGGGGGCTGAGGGCTGCAGTGAAAATCCAGGTTATCAGATGCAACACTACCGTGCTACAAAACGCAGGCAACGTCGTGAACGCGGCCTTGTGATTATATTGAGACGAACACGGCTGCTCTTGTTTTCACGCGGGCAAGTTACGCGTGTGCCGGCGTCTTTCATGCGTATCATCCCAATTCACTTATTTCTTTTCAGTTGAATGCTAAAAACAAAAAAAGAACCATTATCATCACCATGCCCATATCAGTTATTGTAATCGTTTATCGGTAATACATCTTCTACATGGCACATTGGTTCCTCGCCTCACTGTGTGTTCATGTGTACACGACCATAACACAGCAATGGAAATGTGCAAGTTTGCAAAAGCATAGCCAGTCCAAAAATAAGTGTACAGTGAATCCACTTGGGAGACATAAGCCTGCGTGTTGGTCGTGGAGGTTGTTTGACTATACTTCACCATGCTGATCGGTGTCGCTCAGCCGTTGGCGTAATACCAAACTCAGGTCGCCGGGTTCATAGCGCAGTACGCTCACCACCGCTCAACCACTGCAGCCCCAGTCCAAACGCAACAAAAACACAATGCGTCCATTGATATCAGCCAATACGAATCCAAGAGCGGAATAAATCACGATGCTGACGCAGAAGTGCGGTGATGGTGTATGTATTCGGCACAGTATTCACTTTTATCGTCGTCAGGCATGGACAATCCACTGCTGGGCGAATTCCAATCTACACATTGTTTGTGTATACAGCAAGAGTATTCACTTTCATCATCATCAGCAAAAGCAGCATAATCAATCCACTGTTCAGCGTGGTCCAGATGTCTTGTGACCCGCCCCCCAATTAATTGACCCTTTGCATATTCATTTTCGTTTTAAATAAACCTTACTCAAAAATATATAAAATTTCTGAGAATTATATGGAGGTCACAGGACAATCTGGACCACGCCGTACGCATATTGAACTTCTTTCACACCGTACGTAACCAAACCTCGTTAATCGGAGGTGCGCCGGATCGACAACAAACTAAACACACACACAAAAAAAAGCAGTTCGAACGAAACGAGTAGCCTACATCCACCGCTGGATGAAGGCTCACTTTCCACGCGATCTTTTGTGTTGTTTACACATAAATAAGAAACGGGCAATGACCACGCACTTGCGTGAGCAAATGACCACACCTCGGCGCGCACAAACGATAACATCGCTGCCGCTGCTGCGGTGGACGGCTCCAACGCACGTAAAAAAAAGTTTCTTTCATGTGAATGTGGCAACGTGCGTCGCCTTATCGCTCTCATCGGAGCGCACCGCGGCATTTGAAATGTTTTGTCTGCTCACGACAGCCATTGTAACTGCTGGTACTGGGGGCATCTTGGAGATTAACGATCTTCGCGGAACGAGCCGCGGATTTCTAATCGAGGCGTCACGTGCCCACCTCGTTTGCTTAAAGCACCGAAGCCGCGGGTCGAGTAGCTTGGACGGGACGAAGATGACACGCAGCCACGTCGCTAGGCAGTGCGGATTTCTTGTTACGCATGGGCCTCAGGGGGGGGGGGACCGCGACACGCACGCGAATAGTCACTTTTGTTTTAATTCAGCCCGGCGCGCCGCTAATGACAATTATTCAATTTCACCTCCGAGCGCAATCTGCTCCGTGGTGTTTGACGATCAAGGAAACATAAACTGTTTTAACAGCTGCGTGCGCTCGATGAAAATTCCGCACGGCTTCTGCCTCGCGGCAGCTGCTTGTGGGCCCCCTCTATCTGAGGTGCCAGACCGAGTGGTGTATCCGGAGACCGTGAAACAGTAGGGGGGCTCACGAGTACGAGGGGTGGTGTCTGCTGTGGGGAGGAGGCGTCGAAGGGCGGCGTGTGGCTCTGGTTGTGATGCGTATTCGCCACTTGATTTGGAGGAGCGTAGCGCGACTTTGGAGGGCTCTCAGAAGCAGTTCTGTGGTATCTAATTTTGCGGGCGATGCACTGCTCCACGAGAGTCGACACTTTCATCATTTGGGGGACGAGACGAACTTCTTTTTACTCCCTCGGATGTACGACGCTCCGCACAGTCCGAGTCATCCTCCCGCTCCACCGCCAGCATGTCCCAGTCGTTCACGTACATCTCTGCGTGTCCATCCTCACGCATAGTCCACCTGATAGTGAGAAATATTCGTTATTTACGTGGGGTCGTGTGTGGGGTTGCAGACCTGTCGTATTCCCTTCCCTCCCCCCCCCCCCCCCCAGGATCCTCCTCTTTTTCTAGTGGTAAAGTTGTCATTCCTGCTGGGAGGTTAACAGGCCCGGTTTTTTTGTCAGTTGCATAAGAATAACGATGATGTGACACCACAAAGTATTTACATGTAGTTCTGATCTCTTCTAATATCCCCGTGATTTTCCCCAGTTTGTTGCCTCTCAGAGTTGGCAACCCTAGTTGTGAGGTTGTGGCCTGGATGGATAACCATGGCCATGACATTACAGCTTATACATGAATGTTTATTAATTTATTTTAGTAACGATAGTTTGCATGTAAGTATTGTTATCATAATTAATGAATTGTGGAGCCCGTTGTCAATCCTTCTGGACATCTGTGAACCTACATCTGCGAAAAAGAGCTTCATAGCTCATCGGATTTCTCCAGGATAAATAAAGATTCTGATTCTAAATCCATTACTGAATGCCTCCCCATGATATGTTAGTCATGTGGGTTGTTTTCCCATGAAACTAAAATATATTTTTTTTATTTAATCCGGTGAGCTATATAGTTATTATTCAGAAGCCACCTGGCCACAAATGATAGCTCAACGAAGTGGCATATCACGTGGAAATTTAGAGCGGCCAAATAATGTAAACACATGTTGAAGGGAAAAACCGACCACGGTGGAGAACATGCGAATTTCCCGATGATGCTGGATGTATTTACCAGCGAAACGTCGTACTCAAACTGTAAATGTTTTGGATTCACTCTTCAACACACCGGTGGGCTAAAGTAGTGAATTATTTGTCTTTTGTCAACGTGACACTTTTTTTGCTGATTGGCCGTGTCGGGTGGTGGAGGGTTACGACACGTTTATAAATAACGCGATCTAACCCAAAAACCTTTATTATGAACATATATGCTGTCAAGTTACACACTACGTAAAAAATCAAATGAGTAGATACAACAGTCTAGACTTCCAATAAGTTGTCATGCAAGACAACAAGCATAATGCAGAACAGGACTTTATTTTTGGGCGTGTGATCAAACATAGAATCTGTCAGGAAATAATGGAGTAAAACATTCTTTTGTGATATTTACATATTGTACAACACGATTGTTGTGGACCTTATATCATACGATGTAGCGTGGTATCCCCACATCGCAGCCTCGCTACTGGCAACCCAGCATATGCTTAAGAAGCTTGACTCTGCTGATGAGATTCAAAAGCTTGAAACTAGTACAGAGTTTGTCTATTTCATAGCATGCGTCTCCACAATGTTGGTTTGAAAAGCCAAGCGGGTGATGACTTCAAAACATTGTATTTATATGTAGATAGACAATCAGTGGTGTGTTTATTTATTTAATTGTCCGATACATAAGTAATATGGTACTGTATATACATTCACCTGAAATTGTATTTCCTATATGTTTTCATCTTGAATAACCAAACATATTTCTTGTGCCTTTCTACATATTCTGATATTTTGCAATATTAGTTAATCCACTGCAAAACGATTTTCAGACATCATTTGTAGTTTTAAGCAACAGCACAGAGTGTGTGTATGCAGATAGATGTGCAAGATGCACTACGGCATGTAAGCTGTTCTACGGGGTCGGTGTAGATGTCTTGTGATCTCCATTTAATTTTCGAGAAACCTAACACCGCTGTATACCAATGGGTGCGAAAACAAAAATGAATAAGCAAAGGGGAAAACGTATGGGTCAATTAATTGGAGGTCACGGGACGTACGGACCACACTGTGAATCACGAAAATGATGTAATACGCTTCCTTTGATGAAGAGCTTCACACGCACACATAAACGCTGAGCTACACTCAACAAATAATTTACACCCTCGTCCCACGTGGTGATGCTGCTCGGCCCCAGCTTGACTTCACAGGGGGTTTGACAAATTAGCCAAGCTGCTTGTCTGCGTCTCTGCACACACCTCCATTTGCCTTGTTCGCAAATCTGGGGACCTCTCGACAAAAGTGGAAGCCTGTTGGCATGCACATTTAGTTTTCAACGCATTTACAATAACGGATTACCATCAACATTTAAGGTGTGCTCAATCCGCTTCTTGATGAAGGCCGCCTAACGCCTGCACACGAACTAATTTCATCGCTCCATCTCCTCGTGGAACATCCTCTTCTCAATCGAATCGTTATAAATCTAATCATTGGCTACCACTTCATCACTATTCTTTATCGACAGCCATCAACCCTTCTGGAAATGTGTCCTGCCCAAGGCCACTTACTTCTTTTAACGGTTTTAATGATGTATGACAGTTACACATTATCGTTTGAATGTCTTCTGATCGGCTACAGTCCAAGTCTGTCACCTCAATAACTTGCTGTCCTTCGTTTTCATTGGTGTATAGTGAAGAATAGCTGAATACAGTTATTTTGGAAAGCTTTTCTTGATAAAATCAGCATGTGCCTATTAGAAGAACATTCTCAATCAGTACATATTGTCAGCTGAGGCATAGATCAGAACCACGGACATAAATGAATAAAATGCAGCACAAGACAAACCGTACGCAAAAAGGCATGGCGATGTATGCATGCTGGGTATTACACTGAGATGCAGACAGAGGAACAAAAGAGTACATATGCCAGTTAGCAATCATATGGACTGTTAAGACAAGTTTCTTGGCTTGGACAGGACACAATGGTCGTTGGTCAAGACTAACAATGGAATGAGTGGCAGCCAAAGGTGGCAACATGCGCGAGAGTCGATCCAACATTGAGATGCAGCGATTAAATTAGCACATGCACGAGATGGATGGATTGTTTTGTTGCAATACCGTGAGCGTTGAGAACATCTAGGCGAGGCCTTCATCCAGCAGTAGACAGATCATGGCTAATGGTCATGATGAAACCACCATTAATGGAAACCCCTTTAGAATATTGGACATGAGATCCGATACGAATTTTTTCTTCATTTCAGCCACTGCCGGATGAAATCCTCCTCCACACCATGCCGGTCAAATGCGTTGTTTGACCATACTTCACCGTGCTGGTCAGTGTAGACTAATGAAGCTGGGGGGAACAGGACCGGTTCAGACATCACTCACTACTGAATCATCACTCGCGAACCATGGCCAGGAATGGAACTCAGATTGCCCGGAACAGAATGCGGTGGGCTATCCATCGCAGCACCACTCCACCCTCTCCAATATGCAAAGTCAAAAGAAGGGTCGGCTAAAGACCCTTTCGTGTTGATGTCCAGGGATACCTCTATCGCGGAAGTTCTTAACCTGGGGTGCACACATCCCCTGGAGGTGCGAGATGCCCTTTATGGGGGTGCGAGACGTGGCCAGATTTATTTTGTAAGGTGAATCATGGAAACACAAATTAAGCACGGGCACGTGAGTACAACTACTTTTATACTCTTTGTTTTTTTTCGGTAAAGTCACGTAGGTAGAATTAAAATAAAATAAAACAACTGAATTAAATCACGACGTTTCGGAGGCAACACAAGCTTCCGTCTTCAGGTGGAACAGTCACAGCAGAATAACTATATCTGCTGTGACTGTCCCACCTGAATACAGAATAGCTGTATTTGCTCTGACTGTCCCACCTGAATACAGAATAGCTGTATATGCTGTGACTGTCCCACCTGAAGACGGAAGCTTGTGTTGCCTCCAAAACGTCGTGATTTAATTTAATTGTTTTATTTTATTTTATTCTACCTAAGTGACTTTACCGAAAAAAACACAAAGAGTATGAATCCTTGCAGTCACGAAAGCTTCAATTCTAGAACAACTACTTTTGTTTCATAAAACCCTCTGTGTATGTATTAACATCGCATTTATTTATTTACTTACGATTGAGAATCAAAGAGGTGCAAGGCTGCAGAAAAAGGTTCAGAACCAAACGCAGGGCTGCATCTTTTTTTTTATATACCTTTAGCTTTGGGACCGTTTACAATGTCAATTATCCTGCACAAGTGAGACGAACCAACAATATAATATAATACAATACGTCATTAACGTAATATACACTGTCGCGTCACTGCCAATGCATACATTTTTTTTCTGTTGTATCTGCTCGCTTGAAATCTAATTTTTTCCCCCCCCCCCCAACTCCTTCCGACAAGACAAGTGAAATACGATCTGTGTGGGTGTCCACCACTAAACATGCGGTCACACAAACAGGTTATGTAATGCGCCCTGTAATTATGGGTGTGTACGTCTCCCCCACCCCCCCCCACACACACCTGCTGGGGTGCATGCCATACTCATTCTTCTTTGTTGCCGGGCACTGTCAAGTCAGGACGATCGGGGATTTAAAAAAAAAGGTCAATGGGCAAAGGTAATTTCTTTCTGAGCGTTTCGCCGAGCGCGGCGAAAGAGACCACCCCCCCCCCGCCCCCCCCATAATTGCGGGTGGAAGGGAAGTTGCGTCTGCATTTGAGACACAATGTGCAATGGAATGCCACCGATAAACGGCGCCTTTCCTCCCGACCGCCGCCGCCGCCGTCGATTGTGAAAATTTTCGCAACGGGCGTGCGAATGCGCAGGGCGTGGCGGTTAGCGCGCGCTGCGCTACGAATCCGGCCTCCCGAGTTGGATGCCCACTCAGGGGGCCAACATCCGTGACGATTATCCTAACCGGTCCTTTGGCCTCCTCCTCCTCCTCCTCCTCCTCCAGGTCGGCTCAACCTTAAATGAGATCATTGGCGCGGTGTAGTATAAACATCGCCACTCGGGGAGACGTAAATGCGGCCGGGGACCTGGTGCTTTGCAGCACCACCCCTGGCCTTAATAGGTGCTCGCTAACTCTATGCTCAAGGACATGACAATTGGCAATCGGTTTTTTTATCTTCTCCTCGTAATAAATGACTTTAAAAAGTACGAGAGAGAGAGAGAACATGAGAGAGAGATAGAGAGAAGGAGGGGTGTTCGGGGTAACATTTGTCCCCACTTTTGTGCGAAATCCGACACGTCTCGGGAGATCCCATGGGAAAATGTTCACAGTCCAAATGGCAGCGCTTGCCTTTGTTGTGGCTTTTA